CTCTTTGTTTACTAATTTCATTAACTTATCTTTCCACTCGAGGTTCTGGCAAGTGAGGTGAGCTCCGGAATCGAAAGTCAGTCTTGAAGTTTTGGGCAATCTCACGAACAAGACTTTGGAAAAGTAATTTGCTGATCAGTAGTTCAGTGCTCTTCAGGTAATGACGGATTTTACTGAAAGCAACAGTTCCTAGCCTGTATGTGTGAGGTTTCTTAACGTCACCAGTAGCTGGTGCAATTTTAGGGGCAGCCTTGTTGGCCAGTGGCTTTCTTAGGACTTTTTCACCAGCAAATTTGCGTTTCCCAGTAATTCTTTTTTATTACGAAGCCTCTGAACCACTATGAAGGCATTCAGTGACTTAACATCAGTATTGAAAATTCGGATTTAATTCCTTATTCTGAGTGCTGTAGGTCTCCGAAATGATTTCAGAGTAAAGAACACCTGTCCCAAGCCAATAATCCTGGTTAACTTTGACATCACTATTCATCTCGTGTGAAGTTGAAACGATGCTGCTCAGCTTAGATTAAAAGAGAGGTGACCTTCTTTAGACTTCTCTTACTGATGGTGTCTAGTGCTTACGATTATTCAGTGAATACCTCCATCACATCCGTCTCCACTTCACGATAGGAAATGAAATCAAATAGAATATTACGTCCGACGTAATTTCTTTTTCATTAAATAATTTATACTACTCATAGTTAACAAGTAGTTCAAATACTAAAGTAAATTATTGGCAAGTTACTTTTTGATGTCACACAGATGCTGTTCGGATGTGACATACTGACATTGAAAATGTATGGTTTCATACGAAGTGCTGTTTATAGATGTTAGCTGCACAAATAGTTTTGGTCTCACAGCTGAAGAAGAGATACAATGTAGACGAGTAAGTCCACCAGTTCATTATTCCCTTCAGTTCAGAGCAGAAAATAAGGGTTCAGAAAACACTCTCCAGTTTTACCCTGTTCTCTGCAGCCCCCTTTAGATAGTTCTACGGTTGTCAACAAGCTTTCGTCCTCTTCTCACATGATTTCCTCCGTGTCACCAACGGATTCATGTCCATCTCGTCGTTTCACAGTTGGATTCCACTCGATGGTCTGGCTAGCAAGTGATGGCACTCAATATCCTCCTCCTTATGCTTACGATGAAAGTTGGTTTTGCAGTTATAACTTTTAGTAAATTTAAATAAGATGACCAGAAGACAAATACTGAGAGATATCGTTTCATAGTTTCTATACAGTCATGTTAGAACTACTTTTCCTCTTTTATGGCTGTAAGGGAGTCATGGCCAATGAAAATGGAAGACATGAAAAGGCTGGCTAGCTGTCCTTGATCACAGGGGCCTGTGTTCTATCTCCCGTGTGAAGTAGTATAATAAGGTCAAGTGTTAGGTGAGGAGGGAAAATCAATCGACGAGGTTGTGAAGTTACACAAACTGAGATGGCTAGGACATGTGTTACATATGTCTAGCCATATGCCATTGCCTCTCTCGGCGGAGAATGTTAGCTTACATAGGATTGATTAGATCGGACGAGAGCTAGTGATGACCGAACCAAAACATGGCTTCATCAGTCAATGAAATCCATAACAGTTATTATGAGTCAGACATGTGGGGAGGTGCAGACTACCTGAATGGTTGGTTGGGATGGTAAGAATCAATGACGTCTGGAGACAATTGGTGGTGATATGGTTCAAAATCCTCGTTCTCAATGACAGCGCGGATGCATTCACTCTGTGACTTATAATATTTAATGAAATTCTATTGTTCTTCCATATTACTATTCTTTCTCCCTCACTCACACTTCTGTTTATTATCTTTTTCTTTGTGTGCTACAAGGAGGGAATGTGGCAACTGGAACTGCTGAACATCTGTGCAATGTTCTACGCCAAAACCACTATTACTGACAATGATTGGATATTTGAGACGTGTTATTGTCATAGTTGGAAGAAGGGATAGAAGGTGTATTAGCAGAATTTACGCTGTATAAACATTATGTGGATGATACACTGATTATTGGTGACAGCCTGATAACCTCATTACTCTGTTTAATGATAGTGACGTAAATATTCGAGTGTGACTTCAGAATACAACTAAACGGGGAAGATAGAACAATAAAACCATCGAGGGTTTGCTAACAGACATTTCACTCGTTTTATTCTTATCTAGTACAAACGTCGCCTAGTGGAAGGTACACGAGAGACAAACTATGGTCTACTCATATTCAGTTTTGTTGTCCAGTGGATATCCTGAGAACTTCATTGTGCATTACAACAAAGAGAAACCACCCTTTGAAAAGACGAGGCTGTCTTTATTAAACTACCATTCAAGCATGATCAAATCACGTAATTAACAGCCCAACGGCTTCAGTTAACCAGCTATCAGGGATAAATTCTATGCTGCATCTCCTTACCATACCTTAAATATTATCAATTTTTGTGCCCATGATTAAGGGTTGAAATTCTGCGGACACTACTTCACACTGTATCTATAAATTCACCTGTAGTTCTGGGGATATATGTATGAATAGAACCAATACAATGTTCCTGTTTTGTCAGGAGGAACATGTTCCTATGTGGTTATTAAGTCATATAAACAATGTACTTAATCTGAATAGAAGTCCAACATCATCCATTGCGAAATAATTACTAATATTAATAATTCTACTTCAATCATTACACACTTTTAATTCAGGGTTATTAAAGGTGATGGAAACACTTCGGAGGCTGATCACATCCTTCCCAAACTATGTGCACAGAGAACAATAGACTTCAACTTCTGCCTGCTACGGACTATTTGACCAATTAAAGTATGATTAATTATTATTATTACTATAACTGAATAATTGTTCATACATTTTATTTCATTATTGTGAACCATGATTCAAATGAACTGTCGTCAAGATTTGACAGAATAGTTCTAAAATATTTGGGCGCCGAGTGAGAATACAAATATAATTTTTTACAAATGTGAACCATGATAGTTGTAAAACCGACTGTAGAGAAACTAGGCGGCGATATCACTTCGCAGGTTTTGTCTTCTGAATGCATCATTTGAAGTTAATGATAAACTACAATGACCTCTATCAACGGAAGAAATTTGAAAGAGGTCACTTCATTCACTTATCTAGGAAGTATCACTTCATCTACAGGTGACAGAACGGATGTGAGTGTCAAAACCACGATCGGAAATCAATTTGGAAATCTCCTGCACTCCACAGCACCACGAACATAATTCGGATTTTCATCACCAATATGCGTCACGAAAAGCATTTTCAACAGCTGCCCCCTTCGCTGGAGCCACACCGAAGATCAAATAGCCAAAAGCAAGAGAGTAACAATTAACTCTGTGAATAAACTAACCAAGAAGCTATCGCCCAACAAATATTCCGAAGAAAATGGAAATGTATTGGCCACATGCTGAGAAGGCCGCTGAATGACATCGCAGGCCCCAGCTCGAGTGGAACCCAAATGGGACGTTCAAGGGTGTCGTATAAAGAGGAGATAAGAGACTATGGGGCCAGATCTTCTAGAGTCTTCCTATCGGTTCAGCGTATTCCTGTTGATAGGAATAGACTTGGAACATTATTCATCGTATGATTGTAAAATTTCATGATCTTCTTCTCACCTTGTTCTTGATTAAATCGCCAACCAATCTTAATATTTATTTTTCGCCTACCTTAACCAAATCACCTATCAATCAGAACAATCTATTTCCACTGCCCCGGGCCTATTTTAATGTGGTAAAATAAATATATATAAATATGACGTGATTTTCGTAATAAAATGGTATCCTAACAGTCACATGCCAGTCTTTGTCTTTTGATATTTACGTGGCTCAGTGAAGCGGAAGGTACTGGCTGGATTCAACATAGAACATGGCACCGAAGTGCAGCAGTTCGAGTTGCCAAGTTCCAAAGAGCACACAAAGGTAGACAAGAAAATGAGTGAAGAGAATCAATAGAGTTTTGACAAGTATAAGAGTGAAACAGAATGAGTAATGGTAGAAAGGAATATGAAAGATTACAGAGACTGAATACATCTGCGCCACTGATAACGATTTTGAGCCATATCACCTATTGTCTCCAGCCATTGATTCTTAGAGTCCCGAGGGCCCCAACCCGGAAGTCTGCATCTCCCTACCTGACTCAGTTTAACTGTCAAGGATTTCATGGATTGATGCCATGTTTTTGTTTGGCCACCACTTACTCTTTTCCAACCTGCACCTCTATATCAGCTAGTAATACCCGTCGTGGGAGGCGATGGCTAGGCATGCGCAGCACGTGACCTAGCCATCTCAATCTAAGTAAATTTATAGCCTCTTCGATTGATTTTCCCTCTTTGCCCAACACTCTACGCCTAACGTCAACATTACTTACTTTATTATACCACCTAACGCGAGAAAGAGATCGTAAACATCTGTGGTCAAAAACAGATAAGTGGAAGGTACCACGGATGAATAGGTGTATTTAGCACATCAGTTAAGTTGTTCATTGTGTCAGTATTACTATACCCAAGGTCATATGAACTGTCAACGATACCATATCAGTTGGCGGCATAGATCATTACACTTGTCTTCTCGCTCCCAAGCAAAGTCTGACGCATAATCCAGTCCACCACAATTAAGAACATCATCGGTGCTAATAGCTAGACAGCCTTGTCTTACTCCTATACTCATTTCAAATGCTTTGCTGGTTTTTCCCCTGTGGATCACCTGACACGTGCCATCGTCATATAGCCAGCTGTTGAATGAGGTTAATAACGATTTCGAGCACTGCACTCCATAGTGTTGAAGTAGTTTCCAAATTACTTCACGATCAACGATGTCTGTCGAAAGCCTTTTCAAAGGCGCCGAAGTTGGCATACGCAACACATATATTCGAGTAGTCGTCTCAAACGATTGATTTCCCTTCCCTGCCTAACGCCACACTCACCTAAATTAACAAACTAAGCTTATCCTTCCTAACTAAAATACAAACCCATCAAAAATGTAGGGAACTCTAGGAAAATCGCAAGGAACAAGTTACAAGAACGGAACGAAACAACAAAACGAACAAGACGACTTCATCAAAAACTTCAAATTTACACGCATAAAACTATACACAACAAAGAGCGCTAACAACATTTCAATGTTTGTTTGTCTTTTCACAGTAGAAATTCGTAAAAATTTTCTGATCACCAATCAATTTACGGTGGCATACGTACAGCACCATCCAATCGAATTACAGCACCATTAAACATTGGTATACGTATTATTGCTTCAACAAGTTGAGCAAATTCTTCTGGTTTGCCTACACGATTCGGTAGTAGGGGTAATTTTTTCAATAAATCAACATTAGGTACACCACTCAATAAAGCTGTATCAAAAAATCCTGTAGAAAAAATATAATTTAGAGAAGAAAACAACAAAAGGACGAGTAAGTACAATTTGTGTGTATTTGTGTACAAAAAAGTAAGTACCACCCACCCACCCTTTCTACATGTTCTGTCTACAAAGACTATATACATGAATATGTACAAATAATGTTAAAATACATGGTTGTTTGGTTGATTTTCTTATATGTTTCATGTATCATAAAAAGATAAGACGTCCTCCACCGTCAAGTTTCACCATAGATCCATTGATCATTGGATTTTGAATAATATTTATAACACAGTCGGCAAATTCTTCTGGTTTACCCATACGTTGAATAGCCAATTGGATATCATTTAAATAGCGTAATTGAAAATCCCGATATTCACGTTCTCCCATTATTGTCTTTGTATTAAATAAACCTAGGGAATTTTTTTGGAATACACATGGGATTTTGATGGAAACAGCGGAACTATTTGTAGGAGAATACAACGCTATGATATATATATATATATATATTAAAGTATTGGTTTGGTGGGGATTTTGTTTAATTGCATGGAGGATTTCATCATGAGCTGACATCAGTTAGAGAACCACTGGAAAACCTGGGAGTACTGGACAGCTGTTTCGTCCTAGTTCGGTACTCACCAACCGGGGTTTTGAACCCAGGACCTTCTGGTTACAATGCCAGGTCGTAGACCATTGAGCCACTGGGACCCGATCCAATGGTTCTTGAATTCTAACTTCCGCCAATTCACGACATAGCGCGACCATTTCGCAATGTCTTCTTCGATCAGTTACTGCCTCATCTTCAACCTGCTGTACCCTACTGGTCACGGCTTCCCACTAGAACTCCAGGTTAACTGCCTGAAACAGCTGTCCAGTACTCCCAGGTTTTCCAGTGGTTCTCTAACTGATGTCAGCTCATGATTAAATCCTCCATGCAATTAAACAAAATCCCTACCAAACCAATACTTGAAAATTAATCTGATGCTCACTAGTGACTGGCCCTATTCAGGCAGTTAACCTGGGATTCTAGTGGGAAGCCGTGACCAGTAGGGTACAGCATGTCACAGATGAGGCAGTAACTGATCGAAGAAGATATTGAGAAATGGTCGCGCTATGTCGTGAATTGGCAGAAGTTAGAATTCATGGGCCATTGGATTGGGTCCCAGTGGCTTAATGGTCTACGAGCTCGCCTAGTAACCAGAAGGTCGTGGATTTCACTCCGGGCGGTGGGTGAGTACTGATGAAGAGTCCCAAACTAGGACGAAATAGCTGTCCAGTACTCCCAGGTTTTTCAGTAGTTCTCTGACTGATGTCAGCTCATGATGAAATCCTCCATGAAATCTGATATAAAAAAAATCATATTACAGGATTGATAACGGCAGTTTTTTGGTATTTGCAATGACAGTTAAGTCAACAATGTACAAAAAGTGTAAAATAATGATAATAATAATGTTGTTAATAGCTAAAACTGTAAGTGAATTGAAATAGTGTCACCACAGATTACAAATAGGGGAAGATAAAAGTAGGATGTTGAGACATCCTGAGATGTTGTAATTATCGAAAAAGCTACAAATATGCTCCACTGCAAACCTCAAAAGTGCACAAGTAATTATGTCACATCCCACACTATTTACCAATTTTCATGTGTGTGTGTGTGTGGACATACATATATAAGGAGGGATAATCGTGCTTTACATCTGAGAGTGGGAGACCATATCCCAAAATGGTTAGAAAAACAAATGAATTGTGAAAAACCAATAGATGCAGGTGTCAGACTACCGACTTCGTCTATAGCTAAACATTTAAACGAGATGAACCATTAGAATGATGTTAACTCACCCTTTAAGGTCATCTATAAAAACGGTCAAGGACGCTTATTGAAATACGCTGAGACTATAGCTATTCATAAACTTAAGCCCCCCCCCCCCCCTGTATATTCAAAAACAGTTTATCATTACTCTTAACCTACCTTGGTAATCTTTATTAGATTGGATTACCAAACGTTGTGTTAATCATTCTTAAATCTTCTTTTTTTGTCACTTTGTTTAAGTTAATTGACCTTAATTTTTTCTTATACATCGACTTGAAAGGTAAATGTGTTAGAGATCAGATTGTTCGAAATGTATAGCACAAATACATCACATTTTTCAGATAATCTCCGTCTTCTAATAACACTATCCAAATTTATTAAAGGGACTGATTGTTTTAAATTTTTGAGAAGATAAAAGAGCCATTCTGTTTCACTAATCACATAGTAAGTCGTAGGTTTCACGCTTAAAATAATCTCTATCACACAGAACGCGGGACAAACATGGTATCGTTGAGCTTTGCACTTGGTTGTACGAGCATATAAAATCTTTTACAATTACTTCTAATTCTACCTGGTGAGATGAAGCAAGGCAGGGAGAGTTGAGAATAGAGAGGATGTTAACAGTCAGACAATATGAATTTAGACCATTTTCCACATGACTTAAGGTAGGTGTCTATCGACCACAATAGTAACGAGCTGAATTACTGGTACATCACGCCCTACTGACAACCCGCAGTATGATATAGTCCTTTCTGAGCAGCCCAGGAAAGACTAAGGGGGGAGCAATAAAGTACAATAATAGGCAAGATGCAAGAGTTAACCAATTGTGAAAGCACAGGCCGAGTGACACCTACCTGATTGTTTTAACTGCTTTAAGAAATAGTTTAGACGGAACGTGATCTTAGAAAGTGGAAAAATATGGGATGATCAAGAAATGTCATAGGATAGAACCATACCAAGGTATTGTATGCCCTTATGCCCTATGCGAAAAGCAGCATCTTGTGAACGAACCAGTTCTTGTGAGTCAGGTTTACGCCTGAAGGTGAAGTTAATGGTCTGACATTTAGAAGGATTTAAGATAAGATCATTTAGCTTAGACCATTGGCTGATGTCCGATGAAAAGCTACTAAGCATTTACCAATTCACGTGCACTTGCGGAAGCAAGTACATAGGAAGGACTGAGAGGACAGCATCTACTAGATTTTCTGAGCACATTCCTAAGAGTCTCCGTACAAAAGGAAGAAAAGTGTTATCGAGTGCAATCGCCACACATTTAATTGACACAGGACACACAGTAGAAATTAGCGAAGCCTTCAAAATAATCAATACACAAAGAAACCCATGGCTACTTCGCTTCGCAAAAGCCATTCCTATAATTTGATTTTGTTTAGGATGTATGCAGTTGATGAGTATCCACGAAATAAAACAAGCTCATATTATCCTGCAAACATGTTCGTTCTTTCTCTCTTCAAATTAAAAGCTACTAAGTCTGGAACAGTCACATTGCAAAGAAACTGGCAGCGAGACAGTCAGATAGTCAGTGTATTGGACGAAGGTGATTTCATTCTCGAGAGGTAAGTCGTGTAAGAAGAAAGAAAAAAAACAGCACACTGAAGGACATCAGCTTCAGTAAGCAAGAAAGAGTGAGATTCGCCTTTATATACAATACACTGCATTCTATTAAAGAAATAATAATGCAACCAGTTAACAGTCCAGCACTGGGTTTGTGTCATGGAAAGTTCATTTTAACAAGGCATCTAGATACAGTCAAAAGCAGATGTGTAGTCAAGGAAGGTGTGCACCTTCCTCTAACACAGTAAATCCCTATTCCACTCAGAAGGTATCGTTCACAACTAGAACCCATTCTAACGATTTAAGTTCAAAAAAAACAATATCCCTGATCACCTGGAATTATGCACCTATATGAGAGCACTTAGAGTCTATCCTTCTCCTACAGTCGAGTCGGATAATTATCTTCGCCAGTAGTATCTACTCCAGTTCGTCTTTCAGCTTAGACTCCAGTCCTTCCATGATTCAGTGGCAGAGTACTTGTCAGCCACACACACACTCACACGTGGTTACTTTTCGATTCTCAAACAATTCACTTCAAAACCTCGCCTAGTCACAAGAAAACAGGGAAGGTTAGAAGGCGTGAGACTAACAAGCCTGCTTCATTAAAGTAACAATACTGTTACTTGATCTTCAAAGCTTGAAGTCTTAATGTTCCACTCGGAACGCAAAGAACAGTCTTTGAAAGGCTTAAGTTCAATTTGTACACTTTACTCCTCAATGATCTTGTGCAATTCACGCTTCAGGTATGCGCGGGGGGGGTCTAATAATCAGTTTCCATGGTCTTGAAGTTTGCAGTGCGACGTATGAAGTAACATGACAGAGAAGGAAACTCAACAAGAATAGATAGATGAAATCTAGTGATAACTGTCAGTCAAACTTATTGCAGAAAGTCAAATATCCACTTCCGTCATTTTTTTTACAAAGTTGTCTTATTGACTTTACACCTTCTAAAACTATTAGCTTCGCAGGAATAAGAGTTAAATCGAAACATGGTTAATCTTAATTTGGATTCTGATACCCGGAAAGGACTTTCCTTACATAAGATTACGAGCTACACTAATCCCGTGAGGGCTGATGACACTACCTACCAACCAAGTGGTTCGAATCTCAGAAGGGACATGAGTTCCTTCAAGGTTGCAGATACGCCTTGCTGACGAGTGCCAACTAGCACGAAACCTAGGTCGAAGTCTTCCTACCGATTGCCTCCAACCATCTAATATCATCATATCAATGTGCACTGTGATGGTGAGCTACCTAGAATGGTGGCCACATTGCAAACCTGACTGATAGAATCCAGTCTTTCCCCAAAGAAAGGACTAGACACGTCACACTAGTTACCAGTGTCCAATGAAGACGGAGAAAGAATCGAACCGAGTGTACTTAAGGCCATGAGCTATATCTCCGTTAGAAGGCAACCACCTCAGGTAAAAAGAAAGCAGACAGTCATTATCAATGGGATCACTAACATACCCAATAGTAGCAGACATATTTATGGATTTCTGGGGACATATAGTTCTTAGAACGTTTGATCCTGCTCCTAGGCTGTGGTAGAGATATGTAGACAACACATTCACTATGTTGAAATCTGAACATATCCCTCAGTTTTTCACACGCATATAAACCCAATAGTAGACGGAATCCAATTCACTTCTGAGTTAGAAAATGAACAGGGTGAGTTGGCCATGCTAGACTAGACTGTAGAATAAAACGAAAACAAGATGGTGGGTGGATAGATACTAGCATTTATAGGAAACCGATACACTCTAAATAGATACTTAAACTTTAATTCATCCCATCCAGCATCAGTAAAGATGGCTGTACTTGAATGTCTGTATAATCGGGCCAGGAGCTCAACTAGTAAGCCAGAAGACTACGATAGTGAAGTCGAACAAATAAAGAAAATATTACTGGTGAATAACTACCCATCCGAGTTTATTCAGAAATAAGGATAAAACTTGTGCACTGTGGTAAAGTATAATTCCATTGTGAATAAAATTTATTTTGATAAAGTCACACAGTGTTATACATTAATATTTACTGATGACGTTTTAAGCACAATTTATTGCTCATAATCATAACCTTGATATGATTATGAGCAATCATTTGGGCTCGAAACGTCATCAGTAAATATTACTGTACTGTAAATTTTATTCCGAATAGGATTTATTTAGAAATGTATGAAGAACCATAGAAAAAAAAATAAGATTAGTAATGAACATAACAGAAATAATATAACATTGAAATCATCTGTAGTACTGCTGTATAAAGGAGGAACAGAGGCCTTACTCAGGATTCTCAATGAGGCTGGAATTAGGGTGCCATTTAAATCAACCAAATCTTTCAGAGAAAAATTTTTCGTCTGAAGTACCCAATAGATTCAATTAAGAAAAATAACATGATTTGCCAATTACCATGTAATGACGGTGAGGTCAATTATGTAGGTTAAACTAGAAGGTCGGTGAGTCGGTGACACAGCGGTAGAGTGCTCGCCAACCACGCAGGTGTTTCGGGGTTCGACTGCCGACCGACGCACTCCTTCATCTCAGTAAGCCAGTAATAAGACTGGTAAAGAGGGAAGGTTGGGCATGAGGCTAGCAACCCCATCCTGTAAAAATAATCACCACTGCTACAGAAACTTCAAGCCTCTAGCTTGAAGCCCTATGTTCCACTGGGAACGTAAAGGAATAAAAAAATTTTTTAAAACCAGAAGGTCGGGGTCAACTAGATTATTGGATTATAAAATTTAGCTAGACCTAGAGTGACTGACCCTGTTAAGTTAAATAACCTAGAAAAAAGCTCAGCCATTTCACTGCATTCATTTGCATGTAATCACAAAATAGGGTGGGACAGGGTGAGAGTATGAAGAAGTAATGTAGTTAGGTGGGGGGGGAGAGAGGTTATTCACTGAATCTTTGTTTATCGATTCAACACTGCACACGTGCAACTTCATATAATATGGAAAGGCATGGGGTGGAGGACAAAAAAAGAATTCACGAGTAACGTAAACAGAAAGAATATAGGAGAAAAGAGGAAGTAGGTTGTCGATAACCCTATGTGCAGACTATGAGCATCAAAAGAGTTACACATAAATAGCGAACAGTTTCCGTGAGAAGTACATTAGTAAATAGCGAAATAACATTTTTTTACATGTTCATCCCATTCACACCTTTGTACGTTAAAAACTATTTTCTAATAATGCGTAGTTTTGTTTCTAAGCCCCTTGTAATTTATATTCACACCGTCAAACTTTCAAGTTGAAATTATTATGACCCTTAATCACCTTCGTTACTATGTGGAATTAAATAATATTTGTATCTATATAAACTTCTGTATATACATGCGATCGTACAGCTACTTTTGAGAATGAAATCGCCAAAAGGATGAGATGTCTTTACTGAACTTCTTGTTCTTTTTTCTCTAATGTGTCCTGATGGATATTTGCCAAAATTCAATAAATCAAACTTATAAAATCATTAACTATCAACTGAATTGCATATAAAAAGAAAAAGCCATCTAACTAACCTGGAGCAATGGATACACATCGAATTCCTTCTCGTGCAAGATCACGAGCAACGGGTAAAGTGAGACCAGCCACAGCACCTTTACTTGCTGAATAAGCAGCCTGGCCAACTTGACCTTCATATGCAGCTATGCTTGCAGTATTGATTATTACACCACGTTGATTGTCACAGTCTGGTGTATTAGCAACCATTACAGCAGATGCAAGTCGAATCATATTGAAGGTACCAATTAAATTGGTCTAAACGGATAAGATAAGCAAAACGGGAGAAAGTGAATTTAAAGACACTGGTCAGTTAGAAATGAACATTAAATAAATAAACTTTATAAGGATAATTACACAAAACTCAACTGTTTTTGATGAATTTAATTGGTGGATGGCGACTAGCAGTGGAATCCAGGATGCGCATTTCGTCCTGTTTGGGACTTGTTGTCCGGATGTACCTGCATTGATGAAGGCTGAGATGAAAGCAGAGGAAGCTCAAGGTGAAGCAAACTATTATTTTACAGAATTAATCGCCAAGCTTTTAAGACATAGTCAAAAGCACTTCATACTCAAACTGACGCAACCGTATAAAAGCTTATAGGGAGTTGCAATCTGAGATGGTGACCACCAGTAGTGTCTGTCAAGAATGCTTATTGTTCCCATTTTTGTTTAATTTCATCGTAGACGTATTGATGGAATTGACCCTAACTAAATTCAGCGACTTAGCAATTGATTTGTTAACAGATAATAGTCTTGTTGACTTAAAGCAAGTAGTGACAGTGTCCTCCTAGCTGAAGACGACACCAAAATACAGTCTTCCAAACACCTTGAGCAAAAATCTTTGAAAGTTTGGCATGCGATTGGCTCCTATCAAATGTGAGATGATTATGCAGGACTGGACTGCGCTGACTTCTAGTTTAAAGATAGGCAGTGGAGTGGATGAGCGTGCTGACCATTTCACTTACTTGGAAAGTTGCACTAGCCCTAGTGGAATCAAATCTCAGCACGGATACAAAAGGCTAGTGTGACACTTTCCAACTTACAGCAACTCTGGAGTAGATACGACACCCAGTTATCGATCAAAGAATATGTGTGCTGCGCAGTAGTCCACTCTGTCCTTCGATATGGCTGAGAAATGGCCATTGAAAGTGGGAGATTTGAAAAGGCTAACTATCTTTTACCGCTGACGTTTGAGTTCTATCTCCACAATACAGTGGTATAGTACGATGAATAATTTTGAGATTAGACGTAGAGTGCTAGGTAGGGAAAGTAAGTCAATAGATGAAGTTGTGAAATTATAACGACTGAGATAGCTAAGACAAATGTTGCCCATACCGAGCCACTACCTTCCTCGACGGGCAATGTTAGCTGACACCGCATGCGAATAGAAAAGAGTTAGAGGTGATCAAATTATAAAACAGGCCGTCAATCCATGAAGTCTTCGCCAGTTGGTTTGGGTCATGTAGGAGGGTGTAGACTGCCTGATCTTGGAGCCCATGGACACCAATAATTTGGAGTTAAGTTTTCGAACTCCTCTCGACGGACCCTCTTTATTCACTAGTTTAGTGATGAGTATTAACCATCCGCCACTTTCCTTTTATGAAATTCCTATTCCCTACCACAAGAATGCAAACTAGAGTACTAATTGAGGAGTAATTGTTAAATACATACCCGTATAACTTTCTCAAATAAATCAAGCGGATGGGGTTTCTGTCGTTTTGTGTTGTACGTTTTGCATGCAACCGCTAGACCGGCACAATTGACTAGAATATGAAGGTTTGAAAACTTTTCTTTGGCCAAATTGACAGCTTTCTCTGCATCTGTTTCTGAACCAACCTGGAAGAAACAGAGTAGTTCGAAGATTTTTTTTTCCATTTCACAGTTAAAGATTTAAAAAAAGTAATTTGCAGGACAACTTACATCTGTTTCACAGTACACACAATTACTGCCCAATTCGGATAATGCAGGAGACTTTTGTATATCACACACTAATACTTTACATCCTTCTGCAATGAGTCTGTGAGAAAATAATAATGAGTTTTGGAAAGAATAACTTTTTTGTTGTAGCCAATCCAAGTCCTGAGGAACCTCCAGTTACTATCGCTGACAATCCCTAGAGCATGATGCGATAACATAGTAAGGGGAAACATACTTTTAGGCAAGCGAACATAATTGATGATTAAATTATAGTGAGTTCAGCAAACTTTCTTAGAAGTGTATACAATTTTTCTCTGATTTTCAACCTTAAAAAAGAAATAATGTAAACAAAAGTAAGGGAAAGTTGAGTAGAGTATATTAAAGTGACACGTGTAAAAAGGCCACTATATTTATCTCGGAAAATGTCATCAAAGAACAATATCAGCTGAGGTTATATAAAGTTTGCAGAAGCTAGTAATAATCGGAAAACATGAAACCATCAATAATTGATCTAAGGTGTATAGAAAAACGTGTGGTATTCTCAGTTAATACCTATAAACTCTTGGTGACGACGTTAAATCGATCGCTTTTTTCATTTTCCCTTTTCCATCTTTATTTTCAAGTGCAAACACGGTTACACAATGCTGAGGAGCTGTGGTCCATTGGTCTAGGCCCTGGACTTCTAAACAGTGGGTCACGGGTTCGAACTCTGCTCCACCTGTCGAGGTTCAGGAAACCAGGTAGAATTATTAGCCGTCAGACAGAATGTGTGGCTCATTGCCCATTGTGAATGGAATTGCAGGCGGTAATTGAGTGACATTTCACTCATTTTCACTTATTTCACAAAATACTGGTAATACCTATCCATTTACCCGCATATTATTCATTTGCATGACCCCAAGATCGAATTGTGACAGTGTATTATAGAGGGAGGGTGGGGGTGTGAGATTAGTGGTACAATCTTGAGGGTAGGTTTAGTCAGTTCACTTCCGTATACTGATCAGGTCAACAGAGCATCACGTGTGAAAACTTTCAACCCTTTTACAATTTAATCCTACTTCAAACAAGTGTTCGTGGACAAAGGCAGTGGCTCAATCATATCAGTCCGCTAGAGACTCACTGATTGACTAATCTCTTTTTACTTAGGACGTCTAACCTCAACATTATTTATCATTTAGTTACACCAAATATCTGTAACCGAATGAAGGTGTATGTGATCAAAACATGTAGTCATTATGGTTTTCAGTGATAATCTCACAACCGTAAAGTAGAACAAAACGAAATGCTCACTTCTAAGTCCTTAAATTATTGAAGGTGAATCTCAGGGGGTAGGAAGACACTAACCGCAAACTGGTGACAACTTTAGCCATCAATGTACATCATTTTACAATACAAGGAGAATTTTAAGACGGGACGGTGTTATGCGAATAAAACAAATCAACCGATCAGGCTGCAGATTGTCATCAGCTGAGGTAGTCAGGAAGCGTCGCTTGTACCAAGCTTTCTTTTGACGACAAGTGTACACCACAGTAAGATGAAGCTTCGAGAATTAGGATTTAACGGGTCAAAATATGGAATTAATTTGTAAAATTTGTAAACACTGACCTCAGCCGTTTAAAGGGTCGTCAGAATTTTAGAAATCAGTGGTTGCTTTCTCCTGCAGATATTACCGATTTATGTCGAATCATTCAATTATTTATTGAGACATGAACTCACAAGTTTGATATTTAAAGGCAAACAAGTCTAGCTTAGGGGCTGCTTATATCTGTCTGTCCATGATTTCTACAGGGGGTATACACCAGTTTTCTCATTGTAAGCCCGAAAATTTCGATAATTTGATGTTCTATCCATTAAAAAACTAAGATACTGAACATAAGTGTAGCGTAAGTTTGGACTGAGTAACATAACATGCGCATCTGCCTTAATATGCTGTCTTCTTGATCAAGACATCTGAAGGATATGTTCGTGTGTTTTAGCTCAAGATAGGCTGGTCGAGAGTTGCTAGGGTATTTTCAAGATGAGCAAAATGCAGAGATAAATTTCCGAAAAACATCCAGTAGTGTGGTAGCCATTAACTTTTACAATCAAGTCAAATATTGTGCATATGTATTGGAGCCAATAAACAGGATGATGCGACTTTCCACCAAATAGTGTGTATATATCCGCATGTCATTCAAATGAATATTTGGTATTCAAGTCTCCATGACCTGATTTTTCTTATGAATATAGACCCAAAACAATATCTCTCATAAATTCACAGTCCCAATAAAAGCTTGATGGAACTTTTCTCGAATCTAGGTATGATATAATAGCCCAGTTAGCCAAACTTTTTGCGTGCTGCAGACATTTTGACAGCTTGGGACTCACTTTAAACATATCGATAACTTTGGGCAAAACATGTACCAAACTCCAGGGTCTTCGCTAAAACTAAACGGAGCAGTATCCCAAAAATAAATAAACCTCCCCAATCCGGAAATTCATATGGGAAAAGTAGGAAAAACGTGGGATAAGTGGATCAATCCACAATTTAGAACACGAAGTAGTAATTTCATAGCGCTACAAACGCAACTAATTTTTGGCATGTTGTTATATACAACAAGCTAATAAAATATACTTTTAATTTCAGGGGTAAGACTTCAGTGTTTCAGAAAAACTCACGTTAACAGACCCACGTTACTATAGCCGCCGCCCTCAAGGTTATCCTGCTGAAGGACAACCTTGGTTTTAAACAAATCAAACGTTCTAATCCATCATCACGAAAAACGGAAACTTTTTTCTAACGTGTTCGTGTTGATAGACAGCTCATGAATTCGGTTGCTCGAGATGTTGTTCTGTTTTGACTTCCCTGTCGACATATATTTTACCCAGCTTCGTGAACAGCCTAAATTCAAGTACACCCAGATATATAAATCCATGGCAGTGCTGAATGTCAGCTCAATTACTTCCAATGAATTTTGGAGGGTGATTAGGTCTTCCTCCAGCCTTATCGAATTTTCTTTGCATATCACAGCCATGAGCAACTGCATTTCTTTGGGGGGGGGGAGTTATTTTGTAGATAAGCAATGAAGATGTGGGATAACACCAACCCTTAGAAAGGAGCCTTGCATCATCCTATACAAAGTCTACCTTTGAGTGGAATTCCCTAACCTCCATATGGACACTAACCAAAGTTGGAAATGCGTTGCTAGTCCACATTTAGGGGACATTACAGGAAAGGATGTTGAGTGGAACACGATCAGTAACTTCGGATAGATCGACCATGCTACACCATGCTGTCCAATTTTTCCAAGCTGACTGGAAGTTAGAAGTGTAAGGCTGACCTTTTCAGAAACCCCTCTAAGACTGATGTCACTTGTTGCTTGCATTCAGTTTTCCCTTAGCATGGTCGTCTAGAAAGCTTCCAGATGTCATTCTCATAAATACAAAATCATAATAATAATAATGATTTACTTTATTCCAAAAACAGCACATGTGATACAGAATGGAATTTTCAGCATTAATCACAATATTGCATCCAATATCCTCAAATTATAAATAAAATTAATCACACAGAAAAAGTTTTCCACATTTACAATAGGGTTAATATAAAGAAAAATAGAAAACATGGAGCATTTAAATGGAAATAATAGTAATGATAGCAGCTAAGGTAATGATAATAATACAAGTGGAAATTGCCGTGGGCTTGTTTCACACAGTATTGTCGATACGGTATACAAATCCTTGCATGATTAAAAATTTTGAATATAATGTTCTCTTTACATGATATGGTGAGGGAAAAAACAAAGATTACAGCATTCATAGAGATAAGTTGGTGTTTGCAGTTATGAAAGTGAAAACAAAGAATCAACAGGACCATAAATATAATAGAAATTATAAAAGTAAAACTTGAAGGTATGTAAAGATGGATGGAGGAGATTGTTTATTTACTAGATGAAAAAAGGTTAGTCAATTCTTGCCTGACGCTATTTTCATGACATAAAATACGTGCCAAGTATGGTATCATAGAATTTTTATACTTAGATGTGCGAGCATACAGTTTTCTGAAGTTACTTCTTGTTCTACCTGAGGAGATGCAAGGTGAAAGCTGAGGGTAAAATGGATGCTCCAAGTCAGACAAAATCCCTCTAGCAAATTTATTGCACGAAGTCAAGTGCCTATCGACAACGACGTTAACTATGTAGTCCACTGGGACACCACTCATCCTACTGACAGTCTTCAGCATTCTACGAATTGTGACATAGTCCTTCTTAAGCAAACCAGGAAAGAATAGGGGTGAACAGTAAAGAACAATAGGTAGGATGCAAGAGTTTATGAACTGTAAGAGGAGGGGATGAGTTATACCCGAGTGCCTTAACTTCTTAATGTAAAATGTCAGGCGGAATATTTTACTGGAGATCGCTGAGACATGGGAAGACCAGGAGAGATCAGAAGAGAGAATAAGTCCAAGATACTTAATTTCTGATTTAATTCCTATATCATTGTCATCAATCTTACAACTGTCATGAGAATCGACGGCTTCTTTTAACTGTCATTTACATCTTAAGCTGAAATTAACAGTTTGACATTTAGAAGGATTCAGTTTAAGATCGTTAGACTCAGACCATTTACTGACTCCCTACAGAAAGCTATTAATTTTGGTACAATCTAGCTGGGAGTCAACAGCCATTGAAACTGTTAAATCATCAGCGTGATTCACAAAATTTATTTCATCAGACTGAGGCAAGTCATGTAAGAAGAAAGAAAACAGAAAAGGAGAAAGGACAGCGCCTTGAGGGACACCAGCTTCAGTAGGCAATGAAGTGGAATACTTCCCTTTATACACGGTGTACTGCTTTCTTTCTGAGAAATAAGAGTGTAACCAGTTAACAGCCCAACATTCTGTTTGACTTGCAGCGAGTTTATTCAATAAGATGTCCCTAGGGACCGATTCAAAAGCAGATATATAGTCTAGAAAGGCACAACGAACAAATTTAGCCCCTTTTTTAGACTGGAAGCAGTGCTATGATATAAGACGGCAGCTGCATCTAAAGTGCTTCTACTGTGCTCATAAGCAAACTGTTTTGGGTCATTAAAGGATTTAAGAGAGGGTACAAGACTAAGCAGTGTTAGCGTGCAACATAAGAATTTTGATCTGGGTCAATTTAGCGTTTCCATAAAGATGATATTATGATAAGCGCACACGACTATATCTAAGTGATGGGCTTTTATAAAAGTGCCACTGGTGAATTTCATGACAGTTAAATATTTGGCGGCGATCAAGACGATGACAGTAACGTTTAACGTTCAAATCAGTCATCTGTAATAATTAAAAATCACTCAGAATTACTAAGACAAAGCAATACATGCGGAAATAATACATGTTCTGTATTGATCTGAAAATAGGAACCACAGATTACAGGGACCGGAAGCATAAATTATCATTTAGAACTTCATTACAGTGATATGTCTGTGTTTCGCATGGCAGCCCCAGAATATATTAAAAATATGAAAACAAACTTACTCCTCACTGGAATCGGAAGGGCGAAATGATGCAGGGTGTTGAAAGCCTTCAGGAAGCTGGTCAGCCAATGTGTCTTCTTTCGATGAAAGCAAGAGTAAGAATGAGGATGTGGAATGTCCGTACAATGTGCGAGACTGGGAAGGCTGCCTAAGTAGCCAAAGCGGTGCGAAGATGTGGCTTAGAAGTACTGGGTATCTGCAGATGGAATGGATGTGGACTGACCACATTGTCAACGGGAGAGTCAGTAATCTACTCCGGTCACCCAGATGACAACCACGAACACACTGAGGCAGTGAGTGGCTATCATGATGTCACCAGTGGCAGCCAAAGCCGTAATGCAGTGGGAACCAATCTCCTTCTGCAGGATCATGACGGCAAGATTCAACTCCAAAGGAAGGTAACAACTATCCAACGCTACGCACAATGCTGCAAACAACGCGGAACAAGAAAAGAAGGAGGATTTTTACAGACAACTACAAACAGTAATGGACAACATCCCAAATGGTGACATCAAAATCCTTATGGGCGATATGAATGCAAGGCGAACTGGGAGAAGATAAGACAGGAAGGGAACTCATAATGGGTGGAGAGGCTGCCACTCGGAGAAATGAATGAGAACAGAGAATGATTCGCAGGCTTCTGCTCCTTCAACGATTTGGTGATCGGAGGGAGCGTGTGCAAATACAAGGATATACACAAAGCAACATGGACTTCACCTGACGGACATACCACAAACCAAATAGATTTCAAATCAATGCTGCTCAAGGACGTGGAGACGCAGCTGGTCTGCTAGATACAAGGTCGGGAAGGGGAGCAGATGTGGACTCAGACCATCACCTAGTTCAAGACACCTTCAGGGTGAAGATGAAGTCCATGAAAACAAATAGAGACAGACCATTGTAATTCAAGTTCCACATTCAGAGACTTAATGACGAGACTACGAAATGTACCTTCATTGTAGCCGTCACAGCAGAGTCGGAGACATTACATAGTATCACTGAGGAAACCTGAGTGGAAGAACATTTGAATGCCCTGAAAGTAATGTTCAGAGAAACGTGTACAACCGTTTTAGGAGGAAAGAGAGGGAAAGATTAGGAATGTCTCAAAGGACACCTGGAAGATAATAGAAGAGAGGATATGGGGATGGTGAGTAGACAAGACGACTCAATGCAAAGGTGGACAACAGAAGGAGCAGCTGGATTCAGTGTACATCCCACTGAATAAAGAAGTGAAGAAGAGTGCCAGAAAAGACAAACGACAATTCTACGACACACTAGTAACTGAAGCACAACAGGCCGCAGGCAAAAGAGACATCAGGACACTATAGCAAAAAGCCGAGTCTCTATCCGGGAAGAGATCAACCCAGATGATGAAATCAACAAAAGATACTCAAGGGAACCTGATCACCAAGGAGGATAAACAAATCAAACAATGGGCTAATCACTTCAAAGAACTCTTGAATCGACCACCACCTGCAAGCTATCCAGAAATGTCACCATCAACACACTCAGAACTGCCTGCCAGTGGACACCAATCCTCCGACGAAAGCAGAAATCTTAAATGAACACCGTCCGAGAAGGCAGCAGAGCCAGACGGAATTCCTCCCGAAGCACTGGATACGGAACGGGAGACGCCGTCAGAATAGCTCACACCATTATTGCAAAAGGTTTGGAAGGAAGGAAAGGTACCCACCGATCGGAAGAAAGTCTAGCTTGTCAAGCTGCCGATAAAGGGCTATCCGGGTCTCTGCAAGAAATGTCATGGAATCATGCTTTTGTCTCGTCTGGATATTCATCCGTATGTTGATCATGCTGACAAATCCAAATCACTGCATATGTGGCGCCAATATGCTTGGATATCTAAGAAATAATTAAAGTATGCTAATAGTTGCATTTTTAATCTCACAAAATCATTTGATAGCAATATTCGGCCCATGGTTAGAACTCTCGCCGACCATGCACATGTTCCGAGGTTCGATCTCCTGCTGACGCACACCCGATATCTATGGTAGGCTTGCAAAGTTTAGGCTACCGATATCCATGCTGAAAATGCCATACTTGTACTGAAAATACGGTGTGGCATCAAGCTGTAATCAAAATAAAAAAATAAAATTCGCCATTTTATATGGATTAGTTCCCAATCGTTCTGGCTTCTAACCGCGTATGAATTAAAAAATTCGTCTGCTGCTGACTACTGTTAATTTACTAATACTCCTTACATGTT